AATTATCTCCCCCACCCGCAGTCTGAATGAGCAAAGAACATGCCTTTAATCCTTCTGTACCTAGTGACTAGTGACTAAAATGAGGTTAACAGAATCTGCAAATACATGTTTCACTAGCAAACGAAAGTTCGATGAACTAATCCTACCTGATTTTCTTAGCAGTAGTACCATCTTGGTCAAGTCTCTACACTTTTTTGCGTCTTTCTTTACTTACCTGCAAAATGTACATAATAATTATTGCCTTCCCCCTTTAAAATGTCACAATATTTTGGTATCAAAATAAGAAAAATGGTTTCAAAGGTATTTATAAATGTAAGGTATTGTGTATAGAAAACAGATCAATTTGAGCGTTACGAGCTTATCGTTTTACTAAATTTTCAGGTAGCCACACATGCATGTGCGAGTGCACACACAAGAGAGCCCACAAATAAAATGAATTGTTGCTGGATTTCCTGTCTTCATTGATTCTTATATTTATCACTCTGTGGAAAACGTATCAACGTTGCTGATTTGGTAGCCCTGTACTTGAATGCTATCATGGGGGAGACAGTTACTGCACGTGACAATGCATTTTAAATCATCACTATTGTTCTCTTAGATTTTAAATTCTTGAAAGATGATAAGTACAGCTCTGTATACTATGCAATACATTATCATACAAAAACGGTCAATATCAAGCATCTTTGATAGTGATAATAACTTTCTGAATGGTAATAAGCATGGTCAGAAGCAATAAAAAGTTGATAATCAATGAGAAAAGTCAGGCAGCAGTCCTCACCATCCCCACTGCAAGATTCCTACACAGAGCGGTAGGCATTTTAGCTTGTAAAACATTATTTCCCAATCCTCGAAACTGGACCAGTCAGGAATATACACTTGTTGCATAACATGAGTGCTCTGGCATTTTGCCATTGTTTTGCATATGAACTAACCAACACTTTTGGCAATACTGCAAACTTAAATTTTACAAACGATACGCATAGCAGAAATGTGACTCTATTGCTATTGTGAGCAATCTTTTAGATGCCTTTACTCCAAGTGACATAGTGAAAGTTTAAATTTAAAATGTTAAAGTTGACAAATGATAGGAGTACGGAGATGATGTCACTGTGTGGCAAAGCTCTCGTCATTTGTTGGTTTCCAGACGCCACCTCAGTACTATTGCTCATGTTACTGATGAAGTGATGCTGTATAAAGCTCAGTTCTATCAAACTCGGGAGAGTTAGCAGAAAAATATTTTCATCAAGGATGGAATTGACGAGTACAAATTCTGTGGAAACCGTCTGATAAGCTTCAGAAATGGCACTCTACAATTTTAGTATTTCAAAAAGACAGCATTATCAGGAAGAAAAACAAGAGTTATTGTAATTTATCTTTGGTTGTTTTAATGAATTATACAAACACAGTTTAACTGAGAATTCTGTGCATATTATTTGCATTTTGTTGATGGCACTCTCAGCAGAGACTTTGGCTAAGATGTAAAGCAGCCCTCTGAATGAATCACACAACCTGCAAAGAGCGGCACTAAATATAGCCATACATATGACAAAGGCTCCAGGTTTTTCCCGACATTTATATTACTGATACAAATCAACATAGAAATCAGAGAGTTTTAAAAGTAATACGTGCACAAGGGAATGGGCCCAAAGGAAGGGTGACGGTGGAGCAGCTTCGGGCTCACTATTTCGCACAGCAGGGTTGCATTTCTATGTCAACTGAAAACAACTAAAACATACCTGTGTTTAAGCTATCCTGCCAAATACCGCACCGAGAAAGCTGCTTGCAAAGCGGGACATCTCCAGCATCAGAAAAATCTGGGGAGCAGTAAATATGGTGGAAGATGATGGCTCAAACCTAAATGTGCAGTTGATCCACAAGAGACCACAATCCTGCCATGCCAAACAGTAGGTGGGTGGGCTCCTCCACTGGCCCCCTCTTCTCAGACCCCTGTCCTCTATTTTCCTACCCCTGCTTCTCTCAAATTATGCTTTCCCCTGTTGACCCATTCACAGGCATATCTTATCAAGTCTACAGGCCAAACCCTGTCCAGTGGGAAAGAAGCCTAGAGCATGAGTATATGAAGCACTCACTCAGGGTTGTGCATCTGCATCTTTACCTTTGCACCCTAGACCCCTCATGTGCCTCACCCTAGTCCCAGGTGTTGGAGGTAGAGCATGGTATAGCTGGGTAACCTAGAATATGCTCCTTACGCTCTGCAGGAATTTGACCAGCCTCAAGAACTATCACTTTATTGGTAGTTCAATAAATATATATTGCATATTTGTTCCCCTCTGTCTTCAGCTTTGGCGTAAAATTCTAGGAAACAGAAAAACATATCCTTCAATATCCTGTTACATACAAAGCAACAGAGAGCGTTCGCTCCCAGCGTTTCACTGTGAAACACAGTTCAGTGACTTATCTCATGTGCGCACTGTTTTACTTCATTTAAACACTTCTGCACGTTTAGGATCAGCAATAAGATTACGGTCAAATTATCAGTAACTTGGGGTAGGCATTGCATTCTGCCAAGGTTCTATTTAAAGTAATTTTCGAATTGTGACTATGAATTTCCATAGCTGTTTTCATTTCCCCACAACCAGACACACACACAGGTATTTATGGTTTTGGTATATGAATTCTGCTGTTATACGACAAGATTTTTTTGTTTGTTTAACTTTGGAATATTTTACGTATTTATGCTGGTTGTTTTATCTTTTGACTTATGTTTAGAGGGCAGTTTTATTTTTCACCTAACTCGTGTGTTTGAATCTTCTACGTTCCCGGAAGAATACTAGCAAATTACCTCATGTTAACTAAACTCTCAATTTTATTTTCTCTCTTGCTTTTTTAAAATAAATCCTTGGGTATCATCATTATGATGCTATTTCTTTTTTAAAAATCACTTTTCTGCTGATTTTCCACATTCATACCTATGCTGAAATTTGGCAAGTTGTATAAAGATATGTGAATTATTTATTAATGAACAAACTTTATAATTGATCAGTATCTCCATCATGCCAATATATAAGGTGATAAAGTTTTAAAATGCATATAAGACAAAAGAATATTAGCTAATAGGAGCAAAAATATTTTTAAATATTATAAATTTCCCAAAATGAGACTTAATATTAATTAGTATTTCAACCAAAAATTTATGTACTATTGACAAACTATAGATTTAAGTAAAATGAGGAAAAAGTTAAATAATAAATGTGAACAGTTTAACTCTTAAAATTATTTGGCTTGTTTTCAAGGTTATTACAATGCTATATATAATTTTAACCCTTAATATTCTGCATGTTATATTTCTGTGTAGATATGTTCATCTCCTTTGGAAGAATAGAAACACTACCCCAACTTCAAAAGATAGTAATAACGAGCGGGTCTAAATCCTAAAACGTGATGAGCAAAGATAAAAGGCCAGAGTCGAGTAAAGATTTCCTGGAATCATGACCCATTTCAACATGATTTATGCCCAAATGTGTTTGTCATCAACAAGATGCCAAGAACTATAAAACAGGATAGTCACATATCATCTTTGATGATTAGTCATTTGTATGTAATTAGTCATTTGGATATATGCTAAAAAGTTTTAGAACAATTATTCAATAGCACTTCATAAAGTAGCTTTGAATTATTTAAATGTGAAAAGTAAATTTTAATAAACTAGAGAGTTGGTTTGTTCTCAAGTACTTGAGAGCATACAATAGTAGTATACTTGTTTAAAATCAATTATATACATGTATTATAATGAGCATTACCAGTTTTCTTTGTTAATAGGAAAGGAATGAACATAAAATAAACTGGCTAAGATTTACAGATTCACATAACAATAGTATTGATAAACTTATTAGTGTTTTGTAAAGTTCTGCATGACTATTAACGCAGATAAATTACATTCAAATTTATCTTGAGGAGTACTAAATATGACCATATCAAAACTCGGTCAGTAAGCATTCATGCATATGTCAAATCGACTATCTTTCAGCTGAGGGTAATATTAATTGATTTTCTAACTGATTTAGACAACAAATAATAGAATTGCCAATGACTAAACCAACCCTTTGGTAATATTTGATATTTCATACAGTTGTGCTTTACTCGATATTTTACTTCTACCTGAAAATACTAAGTAATAAAAGATGTGTATTTTTGGACAGAGATTGTTTAAATTACATTATATGAAAAACATTGTTTAGATTCTAAGATCCATACATTTTCTGCATTGTTTTTAATATAAAATCCCTGTAAACAATTCCAGAAACCCATAAGTTACATTTTTGTATGAATCTTTTATTTTTCAAAGTACCACCAAATACCTCATCTGCATTGACACGCGTATCTGCTCTGTGAACTAGAAAAGGCCAGCGTCCTTGGTTTGGTTTTGCTTTTGTCTTCTCATGAGAAATTGAACCTATCTCACATATCCAGCTATCTTATGATACCCTACTTTTAATTCCACAAAGCATAGAATGCAGCATGCCATTAGCTTATTTTATCTTAAAATGTTCATGATTTGATAACCCTTACTTTCTAGAAATATTGTCATCATCCCTCAAGTCCCAAAATGTTAGCGATTGACGTTTCAGTTATTCGATAACACTGTTCCTGCTCCCCGTGTCAGGAATGATAGTGTCATAAGGAGCATGTCAGGGAAACCGCTGTCACAAAGTGTCACAGTTAAGTTTAATTCCAATTCTAATCCAATATCTAGTAGATATTAATAAACATTACTTACAAAAGGAACAGGACAAATATTCTCATTTAGTGTGCATTTCATAATGCAGCTATTATAGCTGACCTTCATCTTCCCCTGAAAAAAACACTTTTTCTGTTCTTGACATCTAAACCTAATACTTTATTTCAAAAGTGGGTAGTGGTCGGGGAGCGGAAAAGAAAGGTAACAATTATTTGAGAAGCTCAGCCAGGATATATTATGGCTGGGAAAATTTCAGAAGAAAAGAAATAATTAGTTTTATTCTTTTTTTTTTTTTTTTAAGGAGGAGTTTAGAGGAGAATGAATTGGACTGTGAGCCTTTCATGAACTTCTCAAAAGAGCAGGAACATGAGGCAAAATGGTGAGGAAAACCCACAATTCAAACTACCACAACGTGGTAAGCATTTCCAGCTTTAAACCATGAAGAAAAATAAATTGAGAATTAATGAAAAAAAAAAAAAAAGAAACCATGGTAAATCAAAGAACAAAATGTAAAATGGATACTGGAGGGATGAAGTCTGCATGAGTCCTGCTTCTTAGAAAGGCCCTCAGCCTCCCAAGGTGCCAGGATTAAAGGCTTAAACCAAACAAAAACAAACACTAACATATGCAGAAGTCTCCCAGATCTTTATCCCAGCCCTGAATCCCCTCTGAGCTCTGCTTAGATATCAAAGAGCTATAAATCTTCCCTTGTATGTCTACTCAATGCTTCAAAATAGACATGTACTAAACTGACTTTTTGATGTTCCATCTAAACTTGTTCCTCACCAAATCTTTCCTACTTTTGTTTTAATCCCACTATACTCTTGGTTGCTTAGGCCAAAAATTTGGGGGTTTTACCTTTGTCGAAACCATCAGCAAGTTCTATGTGTCCTACTCCAATACATATCCCTAATGATGCCCTTTAAAATGCTACATGACTTGATTCCTGGCCGGAACTTCAAGCTTGTCTATGTAAATCAAATCTTTTCACTTATCACTCTTCATGGTACATTATTCCTCCTAGAAATTATCTTTCTCTGTTAATTTATATATCTCTCTCTATTGGGAAAATACTTTTTTCGATTTTCTTCTCGAGTCCATATGGAGGACTGGAATAGTGCCTAGCACAGTTTTTGCAAGCACTCAGTAAACCTTGTGAATGAATGAATGAGTCCATAGCCGTAATACTGATGGGAATCAGATTGACAGCTGCACTTCATCAGCATCCTGGACTGGGACATATGTGTATAGGTGTACTTTCATAAGGACATTATTCTTTACCAAATACCTTCTTGGCATTACTTTTGACTTCAAAGAGTCAAAAGTGCCAAATGAATTCAAATTAAATAATAAAATTCTGTTTTCAACTCAAAATAGTTCTAAAAGTATGAAAACTTTGCCAAAACAAGGCGAAAGAAACTCTTTGTTTCTATTTTGAATTTTTCACTTTTTCCAGCCACCCCCTCTCTAGCTTCTGAATTTTTACACTGAAAAGCAGATTTTGTGTCTCTCTTCCCATAGCTAAAAATTATGTTCAAACTTGATAATAGTGATTATAAGAAGTATCATTATGCCAATTATTCCAAATGGTGCAACAGCCAAAGCCCATAAACATACGTCATGGCAATAAATCTGTTTTCCTGCTCTTTGTAATGTCTTATTTGCCATAGCAACTTTTCAGACAACAGCTGTAATAAATTGACTCTCAAGTGTGATCTGTCTGTCTCCAGTCGCAAGAGTAGTATCTGTTTCAGAAGTTACAGTTGTGTATGATCTATTTAAATGATCCTGAGTAATCGTCCTCAGAGCTGTCCTGACCTCCCTGATAATGAGTTTTACAGCCCTTGATATTATAGTTTGCCTGGGTCTGAAATATATTCATTACCAGAAATACATGAAATGTGCAGTTGTAAAAATCCCTGAGTTTTCTCGCCTGAATCTAATCATCGCTAAAATACGTGCTATTGCTTTCATGTCACATTGACCTGGTGCTTGTTTTCTCTTCTATATTCTGTATGTTGTTTGATGGTTCTTTCTCCAGTTTCTCATGCCAGTAGAGTCATTCCTTAATGGCTGGCTCTTCATTTCATACATCCACTTGGTCACTATATCTTCTCAGTTCCTCATATAAAATATTTCTGGGATTTATGCTCTTTTCATTAGTCCCATGACCTACTATAAAAATTGCCCATTTTAGCCTCACAGAGTTGCACTCGCCTGCCTCCTAACGCTGTCACCTCTTTTCCATAAAACCAGAGAGGAATTAGCTTAGAATTATGCCATAAAGCCTTCTCCCTAAAAGCAAAATGGTTGTCTTGCTGCTATGTACCCAACAACAGAAGTACTACTTAAGATAGGAGATGCTACAGAAAGAGTATACGTTGTGGTATCCGACAGACAGGCAGGGTTTTCAATCCCCTTTTAGGGGCATACCACCACCTCTATCAATTCTGTCGTCTTGGATAAGTTCACTTCTCTGGAACTTAGCTCGACTACGTTTTGCTTTGAGATAATAATGCACACTTCATAGGATTGTTGTGAAGACTAGATAAGATCATGCTTATTAAAAAACATTTGCTGTAATGTGTTGGATGCTTGCTAGATGGTAATTTTCCTTCTCGAATTCTCCTGCCTCATCTAAGCACCATCGATGGTACCAGAACCTATCTGCAGAAACTCCATGTGCTTTCCCAGTTCTGTTGTCCTGCTGTCATTTGGGGACCAGGGATATCTTTATTTCTCAAACAGTATGAGAGAACCTGGATGAGGCCACATTCTGTCTCAGGGAACCTGTGTGATCAATCCTTCTGCAAATCCTCTTTCTATAACAGCTGGAAACTGTTTCTTTTCATGCTCTTTTCTTGCTCACACATCAATGATTTCCCCTAGGTTACAAGGAAAAAATAAATATTTCATAGCCTTTGCTATTCTACCCTTGCATATTTTTATGAAATCAGCTCTGCCACTTATTCATTTTGCCTGCTTGGCTTTCTTCTAAAGTCCATGTTCTTTCCCTGCTCTGTACTTCACAGCCAGCCTCTGCAATTAGAATGCTTTCTCCTGCTTATATTTCCTGCAAATGCCCATTATTCTCAGATCAACTTCTCTAAAAAGCATTTCCAACCTTTTCTTTATCTCAGAAGGTAGTGTTTTCTAGCTTAGTGTTCCTATCTCTGCAAAGCCCTTTGGCACATCTCTATAACCTTCTATCTTGCCACGTTGGTACCACTTGTGTTCTGTTTATATACTATTTGTCTTACCCACTACAATAGAAGTTCCCTGAATGGGTAACTGTACCACAGCACCTAGAATGTGCTTGAAAGTCCACAAACAGTAGATAATGAAAGGTGTTGTTACCATTATCATTATAATTGTCATTAGTATTATTATTTTGGAGACAGGCTCTCATTCTGCCACCCAGGCTGGAGTACAGTGGTGTGCTCTCAGATCACTGCAACCTCTGCCTCCTGGTCTCAATAGATCCTTCCACCTCAGCCTCCAAAGTAGCTGGGACTACAGGCATGGGCCACCACACCCAGCTAATTATTTGTATTTTTTGTAGAGACTAGTTTTTACCATGTTTCCCAAGCTGGTCTCGAATTCCTGAGCTAAGTCTTCTGCTGGCGTCAGCCTCCTAAAGTGTGGGAATGACAGGTGTGAACCACAGGTACTATTAATTTCTTTATTATTATTACATGTATTTTTTTTACTTTAAGTTCCAGGATAAATATGCAGAGCACACAGGTTCATTATACAGGTACGAGTGTCCCATGGTGGTTTGCTGCACCTATTGACCCATCCTCTAAATTTCCTCCCCTTGCCCCCTAATCTCCAACAGGCCCTGGTGTGTGTTGTCAACCTCTCTGTGTCCATGTGTTCTCACTGTTGGGCTCTCATCTTCACTATCATTATGTTCATTGCCCTTATCAACTTAATTTTTTTTCTTTCTCAGGCAGTCACATTCTTATCTGAATTTTCTTTGTCAAAATGTGCTACCATTGTGTATCCTGTATGATACACAAGTATGATTTTTATGCAACCACTATTTTCCTATAATTCTTAATACCAAGACTTTAAAATCTAGAAGAAAACTGCAGCAGGTATGCTTCTCTCATTTGCATGAAAATAGCATTCTGTAATTGAGATTTCAATGTTGAGAAATTCTAAAGCCTTTGTTTAAAAAAATCCTTAGAAAAATTAATGATATTTTTCCAGTTTTTTAAATAAATGAAATGGAAGGCAATGAAGCATAATGTAACAGCCTTCAAAATGCACACTCACATTTCCTTCCTAAGTTTTTCTTAATGCTACAAGTTGGTGCCAAAAAGCATAGCCCTGTCATGACGGTCCTGAGAAAATCTCCTTGCTTGGGAAGGGTGAGGCATGTAGGAATAATCGGTGTTCAGCTGTTCTAGCCCAGTTTCAGTACAATCAGGAAAAAAGACCCCATACGTTCACAGAAACGGTGCCATTCTCTCCTGGAGTGACTTAACGAACTTCTGTGGATTCCTGAACAGGATCTTCATCACTCCAGCACGGCCAGAGACAGCAGAGCGTTTAAATATGCAGCAAGTAACCCTGCTCTGTTACAGATCTACACGAGGCTTGAACACGGGGTAGATCTCCTCTCACCAAACACGGTATTAAATACTCCTTTTTGCTTCAAGTGAACCAGCCACTCATGCAAAACACATTTTTATTCTCATGGAGATAATATATAGGTCTTCATTTAGAAAGGAAGTTTGTAAAAAAATGATGTTATTTAATCAAATAAATAACCTCATTTATCCTTGTAATTTACTGTTATTTAACCAAAGGTATATACAACTTATAAGTACATAATTGATTATTGATATGCTCAATTAAAGCCAGTAATTAGTATTACTTATTAATTATATTTATACTTAGTATAAATATAATCGTAGAAAACTGACTAGTCACTTTTTCTTGTTTAAAATTTGTTGTCTATTCTATAATAGTCTTTAGTCTGATATATACAATAGTATGTCCCTACGTTAAGCGTTTTTTATTCTTACTTACAAAATAATTGAGTCCTATTATTTGATTTGAAAATGTACTTTTATTCTGAAAATAATTTGACAGAACATAAAACCAAAATCTTTGTGGGTAGTTAAATATTTAATGTTGACACAGTCTTTTTGTAACCTATTTATTTCACCTGGATATGATTCTAGAGCGTGTATGAGCCCCTTAAAATTGTGTGCAAAAATATATATGTTCTTTTTTTTTTTTTTTTTTTTTTTGAGACGGAGTTTCGCTCTTGTTACCCAGGCTGGAGTGCAATGGCGCGATCTCGGCTCACCGCAACCTCCGCCTCCTGGGTTCAGGCAATTCTCCTGCCTCAGCCTCCTGAGTAGCTGGGATTACAGGCACGCGCCACCATGACCGGCTAAT